AACTACTCTCACATATAGATGTCGAAGTCCAGCTTGATTCGAAACTTAATTGAATTGAAACTTAATCTATTTACTGTTGATGAAAGAAACTTGCAAATTTGACTAATGTTTTCATTGTATAGATGTTCATCTTTTATCAGTTAAGTTGAAGAAAATGAAAGTCAACTTGTAAACAATGTTTAAACTCCGAAGCATACTCAGAAAAATAAGACGCATCCAAATAATCAAATTCTCGTGGATCTCTGAACCTTTTACAATAACCTATCCTTAAATAAAATCGAGGATACTCGAGCCTAACTTTGAATTATCAAAATTAATATCTCCTGTTATTTTAGCTGATTTTCAATTTCGTATATCATCCCTCTCCTCTTTTACCTTTATATTGGAATTCCAATTATACAATAATTAACGTAGGTACGAAATAATTTCCAATCAATTTCACACATAATGTATGCGAATATGCGAACGAAATAATTAACAGTAGATCCAACGTATTGATAATAAATCAGCAATAAGTATAATATATTAGAAATGAGCGAATGGTAGGAATATGAAGGAATCGTAACCGTTCATAATACACCATGCGCAAGCAGCTAATCAGATTCAAACTTGTTGCCAATTTCAATGAATTGATAATTATTCTCACGTCATTAAATTATAATTGAAGTGTTGACCCAGGGAGAAACGGGTACAAGTGCAAAAGGAAGCGGTAATTAGAACTCCATTCCAGAAAAACGGCCAAGTCCATCTCGAGTCGGGATCAGAAGGATCTGAAACGCAGAATATTCACTCGGCTTTCTTTTATCGGCGAACAATACGACCGATCTTTTCCACGGTCATCTCTCCTCATTAAACACATTGTGCCCATTACCTTCTTCGATCTCTGAACTCTTTTTTTTTTTCCCTTTTGCCTCGATAACGAAACAGCTAAATAATTTGATTAAACGCGATCGCGATTCGTCTGACAATGAAAAGAAATACGAAGAAAAATGGAGGAGGGATAATAATAAAAACGAAAAGATGTGGGAAGCCACAGATAAGAAATGTTCAGTCGGTCGCGGAACTACATTTATTTGTCGAATTTTAAGTGAACTCGAGGGAAAACAATCGAGATGCTTTCCAGTCGTGGAAATAGTAAAAAAGTTGAAAAAGAAATTTTTCCAGAAAAAATTTTCGTTAGAAACAGAGCACTTTGACAAAAGTACAATGCAAAACTGGTGAAACGATTCTGACAATTATAAGAATAAAAAGCGATAACATAGACTCTATTTATATCGCGTTTTTCCATACCGTTGTCTAATTACGCGACATCAGATTGACTCGATTTATTAAATGAAAAAAAAAAAAGAAAAGAGAAAAGAGGAATCCATCGAGCTGAAACGATTCTCGAGCGCTCTTTAACGTCGAGATTTATCGGGGAAAAGCAGCGTGTGTATCGTGATGCGTACGTTCACATGACAAACAAGCCATTCGTTGAAGCGAAACGATACACGACCGCGTTATTTCATCGGTCGTATTGCGCGCGAACTCGCACCGGATGCGTAGCGATTTTACCGTTAACTCTGTACCTACGTTACAAACGGTACGAATGATTAATAAATTCGCGTTTGAATTTATAGGATGCTGGATAATTACGACAGGGATAAGATGACACCACCGTTGGGTTATGGTTGCTCCCTTA